TGTGATATCACAAATATCGACGAATGGGATGAGACCTGGTTTGAGCTGCACTAGAGAAGGCAACGAGTGTTATCACTATATGTCGGAGACACGCTAGCTTTCCCAAGGCAGACGAACTTAGAGTGGTTACAATCATCCGGGTTTAAATCGCGCTCAAATTGATTTGATATTGACGCAATATTTACACTGAAGCTCGCAGGCGGCTATGGTAAGGGGCATGACATTTCCCGACCAGGTGCCGAGTGCTGCCAATCACAGCACACACTGGCCCAGCTAACCAATCACAGCACATTTTGTATTTCAGAAGGCGGCCTTCATTTGATACAGGAACTATTTGAGCCGTTCATGCCAGACTGGGGAGAGAGGTGTTGTAATAATGTAAAATATGTGAAAAATAATGTTTTTTTCGAACAACCTAGTATGAGAGCCTGTTCTAGTACACCCCCAAAACAAAATCAAGGCTTTGTAAAAGAGCATAATAGGACCCCTTTAAAGTCCGCATGAAATCGACTTTATTTACTTTGCTAGCGCACATTGCTAGTCTTGATGTGAACAATTAATCCGTGCAAGTTAATCTGCTGAAAAAAATGTTTGTCTTGGGAATCTTTAATCAAAATCTAAACATTAACTTCCACTCTGGAATGGCATTCCTTCTCTGATGACGTCAATTCAAACGAGTCCAATATGTTTTGTGGTCTGCGTCGATTCATGCATATGATCCGCTCCGTGCTATCGTGTCTCTGGACCTGAGCAGACTGAGCGCTGCGGCGGTTCGCGTGACCAGACTTCTTTTGCCCCAATGTAAAGCATATTTACACTGTCTGAATTGTTCCCTATCCCCTATATAATGCACTATGTGCCATTTTCCGTACAGAAAATACAAATTCTGTAAACAAGTGACCGATTTCAGCCGATTCAGCGTCTATTTATAGACCAGGGGACGGGACGCTTCGGATTCTAAAGAGCATTTGATTGGACAGAAAGTTTGATGAGAAGCTGAAGTGCAGGGTGATGTCATCAAAATCGCTGATCCATATTGGCGGAAGTGAGAGACTGTAAGTTTTGAATGCTTATATCTTGCAAACATGAATTTTGTCATTGTTTTGGAGCACACTAGCTTATAGATAACCTTAAGGCTAAAATGTTCATACTAAAAGCCAAAAAACTTCAATTTTGATTTCATGGGTACTTTAAGTATTTACATAGTGGTTGGTGTGCAAAAGCACCACATTTACCTTGTAAAGTTAATACATTTTAACAAGTATGTTTAAAAAACAGTTATTTTTAGCGAATTAAAAACATACAGTACAGAGTAACTGGAGTAGCCAAATTCATAAGCAAATTATTCGTAGGAGCCAGTTGTTTTTAGTGAATCAAAAACATACCACACAACCAAAGGAGCCGGACTCGCAAGAAAATGATTCTTATGAGTCATTTCATTTTTGCGAATCAAAACATACAGTACAGTGTGACCAGAGTAGCCAGATTCCCCAGTAAATGACTCTGAGTCATTCTTTTTGTTGAATCAAATCCATACAGCGCAATCAGAATAGTATGATTTACCTTATGAAGTTAATACATTTTATAATTGTGTAATCTAATTTTATAAATTGTCATTTTACAACATGCTACCTTTAATGAAACTTAAAGTAATATGTGAAAAACAATTCAACCCAGTTTATCTGGAAAGCGATATATCAGATGCAACATCCGTGGCTTTGTGCACCCAACTTGCTTTTTTTTTTTAAAGGATGAAAAAAAATGGAAGTCATGCATGTGTTAACAGGAATGTTTTTTTTTCTCCCACAATGCCTTTGGCTGATCTATTTTTTTTTTTCAATTGATAATTTTAATTGATAGGGAAGGCCACTCCTGATGGAACGGTCCTGCTCGCAGATTATCGAATTTCCAGCACAGTGGAGTGCATGCCTCAGGACATCTTGACATCTTGAGATAAATGAACCCTTGGTCTAGTCTAGCTCACATTGTGTTCCCCTCCTACAGACTGTGTTATACGTAGAGGGCAATGTAAGCCCATCAGCAGGCCTCCCTGCGGACTAACAGTGCAGGCTTTTATTACGTGACACCCATCTGCAGGCGTTTACCCATGCAGCGCCGGCCTCAAATGAAGGCCTGATCAGATAAAGACAGCCTTTGAGCTGTTTTCAATTACAGAGCATTGATCCAGTTCATCTGGATCAACTTCACAAATTACATGATCCACTTTTAGCTCCACTGTCTTTCCACAGGCACTCAGTCATGCCCCTGACGTATCTGGACAGATCAGCACCCCGAGCAGCCCTTGGGCTCTGATCAGTGAGGGGTGGCCATTGATTAAGCACTCCCCCGATGATCTGTCATGTGGTGGGCAGAGTAGTGATCAGTGTGGATTAGTGTGATCCATCGAAGAGTTCAAACCTGTGACAGGACTACCTGCTTTCTGGCATCAGGATGGCTTGTCTTAATTGATTGTTGGACTGAGCACTTGTCACTTGGAAACAGTATACATTATGTATTAATTAGTGTTTAAGTTTACAAGACATGTGATGGCATCTCTCAAACACAATTAAATGCTGTTCAAAAGTTGTTAAAACCAGGCTTAGTTGGAGGGCCAGTTCTCCTCTGGTCAGATGAACCAACATGGTGTGGCTGCACCACAAGATTGTGGAATGATATTTTTTGTCAAGAATATCAATACAGTTCCTGCTCCTTGAAGATCGGGATACATTACACCCAAGTTTGGTGAAGAGAGTCGAAGCTGGCTATAGGGTCTGTGCACAAGACATGTCTGGTTCTCATGGTCTTCGCTGCATGCATAAACAAGATACAAATGATTTTTATGAACCAGTACTGTTTAGCAAATCAAAAACGTACTGTATATTGTAACCAGAGTACCTGAAACAAATGGCTCTTATGATCCAATACATTTTAGTGAATCAAAAACTTAGAGTAGCCAGATTCATGAGCAAATGACTCTTATGAGCAGTTTTTTTTAGCGAATCAAAAACATACAGCATGACCCAACTATTCAGGTTCACAAGCAAATGACTCTGATGAGCTGATTCTTTTTAGTGAATCAAAAACAAGCAGAGTGATATGTACTGTGTATACCGATTCCCAAAATGAATGACTTATGAGTCATTTTGTTTTGACAAGTTACTGATCTGAATAAGTCTGAAACACTGCTCTGTGTAATTTATAGCATTAGCAAAGAGAAAATGTCTTTCTGTATGACAGAATATGTAAACAAAATGGACATTGTTACTGAAATCTATGCAAATGAATTGGAATTGAATCCAAATTAGAATCAGATCGAAACAAATTTCGAGTGAATCAGAATTAATTCCAAATTTGTATCGGTACCCAGGCCTAAAAAACGCCATCTGGTAACTGGTTACAACACATTTAAATGTTTTGAATTAAAATAAAGCGAGAGATGAGGTGAATGATGCCTGCTCAGTACTATTATGCTAAACAGCTGAAATGAGAACAGAGCATTGTGTGTTTTAGGTTCTGAGATGGTGCGGTCCATTGCTGGCAGCCACATAGAACACTCAGTATGATTAAGACGAATCAGCCCACATAAATTCAGAGTGCTGACATAAGCAAATACACTGTGATAGTCTATGCCCAGCTGGCGTCCCTTACGGCTGTAAAGCGCATGCACACACACCCACACGCACATTTACATGCCCATTACACATACATCATATTTTCATGCACAAGCTTGCACGTGTTTCTGAAAACAGAATGCATGTCACAGCCCTCCTACAAACACAACAGCAGACCTACACGCATTTGCTTGAATCATGATACAGTGTAACAAACTCACAAAGCAACCCTTTTTTTGTTTCAGGTCCTCCTTTACCTCCTCAGGATGTTCAGGTTCAGATAGGACAGACACCAGGAGTCTTGCAGATCCGTTGGAAGCCTCCTCCCCTCACTTCTACCGGCACTTCCAATGGAGCCAATGTAATCGGATACATAGTCTGCACTAAAGGTCAAAAGGTGAAGCGATGTTGCCGATTCTTACTATCATCATGCCATTTGTGCATAACAGCTACTGATTTGCAATAAGCAGTGGGCCCTGCTAATGAAGCCAATGAAAGGTCTAAGATCAGTTAGGAGGTTAAACGTTATGCTAGTTCACGTTTTTGTTTTATTCTGCTCACTGGCGCCATCAGGTGATCGCTTGTGTCATTGCATGGCCAATGTTTTCCCTGTGTTATATAATGCAGGGGTTTATGTAAGTCATTTTTGGATAATCTGACAAAAATATATTTGGAAATAATGTTGACCTCTTTTTGTGAGACAAAAAAACAAACAGTACTGTTATTTATGTATCATATATACAAATGTATTTTATTTCTGAGATGTTTTTCATGTACCAGTAGGTTTAAGATCTTATGATGTCGATCTTAACAATAAGTATGTCTAGATGGTCCAGGACCAGTGTGAGGAATTTTCGTCACTTTATTTTACATTCATAAACTAATGTGTTTTTATGCCTGGCAAGCTTAAACATTTGGTGTTCTATGATGCATTAAGCATCTAGCTGTCTAACATTTGTCAAAAATGTGAGAATTACTTGTTATACTCTTACAAATATCATATGTAATGGTAGCTTAAAATGATAAACAAATCACCATATGCTGCTGTTTTCTATCAAAAGTGTGTTTATGAATTTATTGCTGTCACAGAATTAAACTATAGCTGTGTAATTTCCAGCTGTTATTGCAAATAAAATACTGTTCATTATTGCATGTATGTACTTGTAAATTATTTGTATTATATATTTATAATTATTTTTAAAGTTAAAAGTATATAATGTATTTATTTCTAACACCTTTAAAATTATCAATGATGTATTTAATATATATATATATATATATATTTTTTTTTTTTATTAAACATATATTGAATGTATTTATTTTGAACACAGAATGTATTGCTAAAAATAAATTCGATCATTTTTATGATGGGGCTAATGAAAATATCAAATAAAATAAAAATTACAGGTCAAGTACAAATCTGAATAACTGCCTGACTATATCAGCGGAAAACACTCATTGTTTATCCTTGCTAGGGCACATTTGTTTATCCCGTATTTCTTTTGTTTGTTTGTTTTCAGATAGCAGAGATAATGTACCCCACAGCAGATTTCGTTACGGTGGAACTGAACCGTATCCAGTGTCTGGAAGCGCGGGAGGTCGTCGTGAGGACAATATCAGCACAAGGAGAGTCGCAGGACTCTCCTGTGGCCACCATTCCGCACAACCTCCTGGTGCCTCACACCCACGGACACCCCCCTCACCCGCCTCCCTACCCACAAGCCTACCCCCCAACCCATCCACAACCGCATGTCCAGCCCCACTCCGTCCCGCCATCCCACCCTCATCCACCACCCTCGCACCCCCACGTCCACCCCTCGCCCTCCTCGTACCCCATGTCTAAACCCAAACGCCTACCAAGTGACAGAGACCCCCATGCCAAAGAGCCAGAGATGGGCAGGCGAATGGGACAGCCCTGGGAGCCGCATCCCCGGGCTCCGTCACCCCTACCGCACCAGGGACACACGCTGGAGCCCCCTCACGTAGAGGGCCGATGCTCACCCTCCCCTCAGAGGATCTTGCCTCAACCTCAGGGAGTGCCCATTCCCAACACAGTGGCTCGTGCTATGGCCCGCCAGGTGGCGCAGAGGAGCACCCCGAATAGCAGGGTGAGTCCACTGGTTTGTTGGGTTAAATGAGGAAGATGATGATCAAGATGGTTGCTGGAATGCTTTTAAGCAGCATGACAGAATATCCATGCGCATGCACTGTTTCAGGTGGAGAGGAGGAATATCTTTAGTGAGAGAGGTAACGCTCTGCATTCATTAAACTCAGACGAGGAGGAGGACGGGTACGATTCGCCTCACGCCAGGCGAAGAGGAGCGTCTGTGGACGAGTTTCTCAGAGGTTCTGAGCTGGGCAGACACGTGAGTCTAAAAAACAGCAATCTTTTTGTACTGCACAAGAAAACTTTTTAAGGGAGTTTTGGATCAGCTGACACAACACAAGACAACACACGTTGTGTAACTTTTCCAACACAAGTTATTTATGCTTTACAAAATACAGAATGTGCATTCCAAGCGTGACATTATATTATATTGAATTACATTATACTCATATTATTATGTTGGTATTATATAGAATTAGTTAATTAACACTGGTGAAATGCCAGGCCAATATCTGTATGTCCTAAAATGTTGAAAAAAATATATACCTGATGGGGTGTACTAATTTTTAAATGTTCTTATATATGTCAAATTGTTGGTTCTAACTATGCTTTGTAACTTAATGTTAACATAAAGTAATGAAAAATGCAAACATTTTTCCTGACACAAAGAAATATTGCTACAAATGACAAAGAAATCACAAGATGACAAAAGAATGGCGAAAGAAATCACAAAGAAGTATTGCTATGTTTGTGTGTGTGTGTGTGTGTGTGTGTGTGTGTGTGTGTGTGTGTGTGTGTGTGTATTTATATGTATTTACTAATCTGGCAAATAAAAATATTGGCAGGGCAAGTATAAAATATGAGCTAAAATGTGGCATTCATTAATTTTTACATGTGGGCCAAATAAGCCTCCAAATATGGACCTAAATTATTCTTGGGGCCTCCTTATGATTATTTATTTATTTCTTTTCTTTCTTTATTTATTTTATTTTTATTTTTTACTTTTATCATCCAGTGTTTTTTGTGCTGTTAATAATAAAATAGCAAGAATATGCAAATTAATATATTTAAATTCAAAATCCAAGGAAAACAAGCAACGCATCCAAACTATACAAATAACAAAACAAAGACAAGAGCGAAGTACTGATGAGCCAAATTAGGAACCAGAAACATTAGAAAACATTAGAGTTTAACTAAGTAAAATTTCGGTTGAGTTTTGAAGATTTCTTCCTGGAGTGTTAAATCATGAAGATTTCCGTGTCTGTACCTCCAGCATCATCACTATAGCCACAGTGAGGAGTACTACACCGAGAGCAGTCGGGGCTCCGATCTGTCTGACATCATGGAGGAGGATGAGGAGGAGCTGTACTCGGAGATGCAGCTGGAAGAAGGGCGCCGCCGCAGCATCAACTCACACAACACATTAAAGGTATGGAACAGACACCCTTCCGGCCGCCGTCTGTCTTGGGCGTGGGCCACAGGGCTGCAGGCTAGAGGCTGGGATAGACGAAGGGGGATGGAGTATGCCGTGTTCTCTAGGGCTTCTCCCAAGGGGTGGTACTAGATGATTGGCACTTCAACCTTATAAAATAGGCTTGAAAGGCCAACTGCAGTTCATTTAAGGTGATCTTTAGCGGTAAGAGTATTTTTTGTTATAAAGTAACTCAGTGTATTTGTCCTGAATGTGACTTAGCGCTGGTTTTTTTTTGTTTTTGTGATGGTGAATTTAAAATAGGGGGTGTTAGACCTTTGATGTTGTACATAAAGCTTGAGCGGCAGGATCTTAACAGGTCACCCCATCCTCAGTCTCTCCTGGGTCCTAAAAGCGGGGTTGCTTTTCACTACCGAACTTCGACGTCATCCAGTCATTTAGCCAGCTTTGTATAAGCCTGTCCAGTCATACAAAGCTCAATACATCTGAATGGCTTAACCTGAGGCTGCACACACAATGCATGAGAAAACGATCTGAACATGCTTTATGCTCTCCAGATGTTGCAAACTCTGTTGTTCAGTTTTAAGTATTGCATCACTATGCATCTGTATCTGGTAGAAATCGATCTGGATTACTCTATATAGTAGAAGTGGCCCTTGTTACTTGGAATTGACAGGATTATTTAGCAGATTCTTAGATTTATTGCATATGACAATCACATATGTGCAGATATATACAGTGTGTATTTGTTTGCTATGCCTGAAGTGTTTACCTCATGGAATATAACGCCATGGTTTTATGTGTTTGTGATTATTATTAAATAAAGACAGGTTTTTTTGTGTGCTCTGTGTATAAGTATTACATGAATTTAATCAGTTTAAAGTGTCAAATTAGCTCCAACTTGATCTGGTGAAAATGCACATATCATTCCAAGGGCATTTTGGGAATCTCATTTAAGTAAAGTCTGCTTAAATGAAACAATTATTCACTTTTGATTATGTTTGTCTCATGGTTACACTTCTGTTAAGTTTTACTTTTCTGAGTGTAATTTTACAATTTTGTGAATATCTGTCTCTTCATGAAAAATGTTTATTGTTACGATTTCTTTTAAAAGATATTTATGAATAAGTATTATACAGAAAGGGTTACAAAAATACATGATGTATTGAATATATGAAGCAATAAATGGTATATTATATTTCAGTTTTTGTCATTTTTGTTTTGAGTTATCTTTTTGGAGACCTGAGCAGCCATTGGGATTGTGGTATGAAAACGTCCCAGGTTACGTATGTAACCATGGTTCCCCGAGGGAACGAGACGCTGCGTCGGAAAACGCTAGGGGAACGCCTTCAGCGATACCAAGCTCTGAATCATATGTGTAATAAGTCCAATCGATGGGCGAGACGTCAGAGGCGGGTGACGTCATGACCAGGAAGCTTTAAAAGCACGTGAGGTGCAGCCGACGTTAGCTTCTAGGAGTGAAGCAAGCTCTAGTAGGGATGCCGGAAGTATGGCCTTGCGACGCAGCATCTCATTCCCTCGGGGAACCATGGTTACATACGTAATCTGGGACGTTCCCCTTCGGGAACTCAAGCTGCGTCGGAAAACGCTAGGGGAACGAGATGTCCACGCCGCCAGACTTGCAAATCCCTGCCTAGTGTGGAAGAGCACAGCTATGGCAAGAGAACAGAGGGGCCTGGAGTGGCTCGCAAATCTAGGTCATAGAACCTGACGAATGTGAGGGGCGTAGACCATCCTGCAGCGTCGCAGATGTCCTGCATAGGAACACCTGCCAGAAAGGCCTTGGAGGCCGCGACACTTCTTGTTGAGTGAGCCTTGACCCCCAATGGTGAGAGGAGATCAGAGGACTCATAGGCAACAGTAATGGCATTCACTATCCACCGGCTGAGGGTCTGCTTGGAAGCAGGATGACCTCTCTTAGGGGGACCATAGCACACAAGCAGTTGGTCCGCCTTTCTCCACAGGGCAGCTCTGTGGACGTATGCATCCAGTGCTCGCACTGGACACATACAATTAAGCCTCTGCTGGTCGGGCTCCCTGAAGGGAGGAACGCGATCTGCTTTCGCCCTTGTTTGTCTTTACTTTTGCTTTTGCTTTAGACATGCTGGAGCTTTATGCTTTTTTTGCTGAATGCTTTGTGCAACTTTGGACAGACAACAATAAATAAGACTCACAGAACATAGATCGTGACCGACACACACAGAGAGCTTTGCTGAATGACAGAAAGCTAACGCCGGCTGCACCTCACGTGCTTTTAAAGCTTACTGGTCATGACGTCACCCGCCTCTGACGTCTCGCCCATCGATTGGACTGATTACACATATGATTCAGAGCTTGGTATCGCTGAAGGCGTTCCCCTAGCGTTTTCCAACGCAGCTCGATTTCACGAAGGGGAACTAACACCTTATATAGTCTACAGTATATTCTACTGTTTTTGGATATGATTTGCCTCCAACTGCAGACATCTGTGCTACAGTTTAGTATGATACAGAAAACTATATTTGCAGTAGTGTCGAACTTAAATACTAAAAAAACAATAATTTTTAAAAATATGCTGTTGTAGCTATCTCCTCTTAATCTAAAAATATCTGCTACTTGTATCAGGATGTAGAAATGTAAAACCAACAATTACGATTTTCATACATAATTTGAAATAATTAGAAAATATTTGTCTTTTTATTCATATTTTTAAATTTCCATTCCAGGTTATTGGTCTACTTTTGAACACAATTCACTTGTTGCTTGGCAGATGAATCTCCATTTTGTTTTGTTTTTATTTATTTTTATTTTTTTCATGTATAGTCCTTAGATTCTTTAGTCTTGATCCTTTGATTGCCTGTTAATAATTTCTTAATGTTCTGTGTTCTGAATTCTCATCTGTAGTTTTTTGTTGTTGTTGTTGTTGTTGGACTGTGCTTTGTTAGTGGATTGTCTCAATGAGCCCTGCATATGTGATACTCTCCAGTTCTCATTTTCTGTATGGTTTGCATTTCCTGACATTTTCCTTCTACAGATTCCCTCCCGTCGCTTGTCATGTCCGTCATGGAATGAGACTGCATGCCCTACATTCGACCATGACCTCCGATAACTAATTCTGTCTTTATTTTGTCTTTCTTTTCCCATTTTGTTCTCTATTTGCACACTGTTTTATCTTCTCTGCCTGTTCTAACACCATCAAACAAAACCCGCCAAAAACAATCCCGATTTTAACTAATTGAAAAACGTCCAAATCTAACTGAAACTTTGGCTCCTCCTTCGTCCATTACCCTCTCCGGCTTCTAAAAGGCATATTACAGGAGACAAGACCTAGCTGTGGACCGGGACAGTTGGGACCTGCAGCGGGAGGTGGTACGACAGCGCTCCTTGCGCTCCCACAAGCGGCTCCACAGCATCCCGGAAGTTGCCGAGGAGGAACCGGACACCGGGGTGGAGGTCATGGGCCAGCGTCTGCGTTTCGAGGAGGCCCGTCCATGCACACCTTGCAGGAGCCCACGGCCCTACCACCAGGATTCACGGCAGCCGAACCACCTCTCCCCGAGCAAGAGCGTCCGCAGGCTGCAGAGGCAGCGCTCCTCTCCACGCTACAGCTCCATAGAGGAGCGGCCACCGTGCTGGAGCAGCAGCAGTAGCAGGCAGACCACTAAGAGCCCAGACAGTGGACTAGACTGCGGGAGCGAGGAGGAGGGCTCGGTTGGCTACCGTGGAAGCTACCACTCGTACACGGGGGGCAGCCCGCTGCGGGTGGGTTCTGGCCCCAACATGCGGGTGATCCAAAGCGAGGGACCTGTGGAGAGACGTGCTCTGGCTGCCGGCAGGAAAAGGACACTGTCCCGGCAGTGCAGCGTGGAGGAGGACTTCCTGGATGCCATTCCGGAGACAAGGAGCATGCGGGAGTCATACCACCATTACCACTATCATCCGCACCATCACCATCCCCAACGCAGGTTCCGGAGCGAGGGCAGGCTGAGCGAGGTTGGCAGGACCTATCACAGGGACATTAGGGCCTACTCTGTGGCCAGACTCAACAGGGCAATGGATGAACCCCTGGTGTGTGTCTCCTACCCCTCCTCTCACCCTTCTGCCCTCTCCTCATCTATCAACTGCTTTGTGTTCTCATCGACAAGCGATTAAACCATTCTTCTGTTCATGCTGTTCCACCCAGTCTGTCGTTGGTTTATTTGGTTTTGTTCTTCTTGTTTTGCTTTTTTGTTTGGTCTATTTTGCTAGATGTTGCTATGTTATTGTTTGATTTCACCTTTTGATATTACTCTTGTTTTGGGGGGATTTTAGCTTGTATGATCTTTCTTGACTTTCTTGATTTGGTTTAGATCTCATGTGACTTTGTTTGATTCCTAGAGTGTCGAGTGACATTTTTTGGATGTGTAGGTTTGTTTTGATTACCTAAAGGCCATTTCTGAGTGTTTCTTGTTTCTGTTGTAAGAAGAGTCACAAATCAAATGACAATGTTTCCACAGTCCTCCAACTTATACTTTAGAGTCCAACCTTGAAGTTTCTAGCAGGCATTCAACCCTGCTCCTGGAGAACCACTATTTTTCAAAGTTTAGCTCCAACCCTAATCATCTGAACCAGTTAATCTGGGTTCTCAAGATCACTTGAAAACTTACAGGCAGGTGTGGAAATAAACTTTGCAGGATAGTGGGTCTCCAAGAGCAAGGTTGAAAACCTCTGGTTTAGAGCAGTGTTTCCAAACCCTGTGCCTGGAGGCACCCCGTAAGTACACATTTTGGATGTCTCCCTTATCTAACCCATCCAGTTTAGGACTTGGAGGTCTCTACTAGGTCTCTTTTTAAGTCTCTACTAATGAACTGATGAGTTGATTTAGATGTGTTTGATTGGGAAGAGTTCAAAAATGTGTAGTGTTGGGGTGCCTCCTGGAACAGGGTTGGGAAACACTGGTTTTGAGTTGTTTATGGGAAGCCGGAAACACCAAAGGAATGACGAATCTGCACATTTAACAGTGCAGTATGGAGTGAAGTTATTCAAGCCAATGAACAATGTGTTGCCACTGATTGTAACGGTCAAAGCTTGTTTATTTGGGCTTGAACAGATAACTCACCTAACTTATCTGGATTGAGCAGCACAGATGCATACTTTTTTGGTGTGTTTTGCTTCCCATCGTTGTTTTCTTCTAATACCTGCTCATACTGTACATCATCAAGGTTTTTGCAATACTGACCTAATAGTACTAAATATTCAAGGGGGACCAAATTAAAATTTCAAGAATCAGAGATTGGAAAACTGTCCATTATTCTGAAAATTCCAGGGAAATCTCCCAGGATGTCTGTGGTGGTTAAGGTTCTGACTACTATCATGTACAGATTTGCAGCATGCTATATACCTGTACTGACAGTTTTATATACTCAACACATTACATTAAGTGTAGTCAGACCATAATATAGAATGATATGAATCAGAAAGCTCATATCACAAACTACATTCAAAACTTTCCCATATGAACTGAAGAGGAGCAGAACAAAAACCAAAATGGTCTTTAGCTAAGCATCTGATTTCTGCCAAAACCCTGCTCATGTTGTTGTCAGAGTTTGTTTCAATTGTTTATGTTAAATGTTTTGGCGGGTTCATCCTCCTTGTTTTGATTTCACTTGGGACTAGAATCTTGTTCTCTAAAGAAATCACTTTATTTATTTTTTTCATTTTGGGGTTGATGGGAATCTTTTTTTTTAATAGAATATCTATTTTTAAGGCACCACAGGCTTTGATTAACATATAAATGTTTGCTTTTGAAGATTTTAGGGAGTTCTCCCTCAACGGGACGCTCGGATCGATTGGACCATTCCGGCCATAGGGCGAGTCACGGCTGTCCACCCGCTCAGAGAAGGCCAATGACAGTCCCTTCCATTGGTTAGTGTGGTCACATGATGTTTGGACTCTCCCTCCCTTCCTTTAGCGTCTTTCATAGAGACACCTATTGTGTGTTCCTCTGTTTTCCTTAAATGTCATGATGACATTTTCTATGTCATCTGGGAGTCACTTTTGGTTGACCTTTGCCATTCATTCTGTTTCAGATTCACTAATAATTATTTAACTGCTTTATTCTAGTGTACAATTGGTACTCCTAACAGGCCACACATTGTCGCTTAGAAAACCATCATCATGTTGAACATTGCTGTTTTACTCCGGAGCAACTTATGTCAGCTGGCTTTCAATACTGTTTTAAGATCAGTACGCCATTTCTGATGCTTTAATGCTATAGAATGGCATTTCCGATCCTAAAGCACACCTTGAGAGCCTTGAAAATGTCATAATCCACAACTCACGGGCTGAGTAGAGGGGCTGTGGCTGTAATGCTCTGATTGGTGTTTCCGTAGAGATCACCGTGGAGAATAACAGTGAGGGGAGTGAGGGGAACCTCTCACCTATCAAGGACAATGTTTACTATACCAATGTAGCCCACCGCAGGAAATGGCCCCCACAGCGAACAGAGCACCGATATGGTATGTGGCGTGAAAAAGAAAATCTAACAAAATTTACCAGAACAAATTTGAACTAATATATCACATTATTACCAACAGTATCTTGTTTAAAGACCCTTATGAAATCAAAGTAAGAGTTTTGTGGCTTTTAGTCCATATACGTTAACTTTGAGTGGCCTATAAAAAGCTTGCTAAGGTTACCCAGGTAAGTTTGAGTTTAGTTTGAGCAAATGCTTATTTTTCAGGTTTAAGAAGATAGATTGGTTTTAAGCGGTGTACATTGTCACAGCAATATAGAGAAGCGATTTAGAAATTTGCCTGGCTTTTTCTGCCAATTACAATATTTAAGTATAATGATACAGATACAGTACTCAACATTTGAAGTGGATCAAAACAGTTCAATCAAAGTTGTCCTAAGACAAGAAAGCATTTTGGCTTTAGGACAACTTTGATGAAAGGTTTTGATCCACTTCACCTTTCTTTAAACCTCTTTGTGATTTTTTTTAACTCTAAACCTACTCTGAAACTCAAACTTTGTCCAGCTAGTTTTTTGTAACAGTCCAGAGGTCAAATGCTGACAAAATAAACTGTTAGCATACTTTTGTCCCACCCAAACTCCCCTTTTCAGTAGGAAAAACATCAATTCAGAAAAGCAGAGTGCATTTTTCAGTTGATTTCATGGGGTCTTTAAATTAATATTTCTTAACTTAATGCAAGTTAAGCTCTACTGACTGCTTCTGTGACATACTGATTATCACAGATAAAAATGTAGGTTCTTCAGTTTCTAAAAAATAGGTGTCTCACAGCAGTTCTACCTGAATAAATAGAAAGAAAAAAAAACATTGTCCCAGAAATAAGGCCACAAGACTTAAACATAATACATGAGATTATTGTGATGGTGTTGCTTTACTAAACTTTTCAAAATAAAGTCATGTCCAATCTTTCAGTTCCTGTCATGTCCATGCTAAACCCTTAGACCTTAAATTTTCACAAATAGGCTAATTATAGGGACACAAACATGTACTCTAACTTCACAGAAGTTCAGCAGTAGTCTTAGCATTAAATATGGGACAGTTGTACAGCTAAAACAGCACATATTTAGACAAAAATACTTTGCATGTCGTTTAACCTACAGATTTGCATATGTAGTACTGTAAACAAACATAAATTGGAAGCATATCTCAGATACAGTTGCTAGAGCTTTATTTGTATTGCTAACCTTAAAAAGAACAGAAGCTGCCTTTACCTTAGAAGAATAGACATGCAGGAGCCTCTCATTAACATATAAAAGACAAAGATGGATGAGGTACATTTATTTTTTCTATTCATTTAATTTTTATATGTATATTTTGGTTTTAATCAAGAGGTCATTTTTATTTATGTACATTTTGCCTTTATCCCCCAAATATGCCCCCCCCCCCCATGTTAATTTGTCTTTATTTTAGTTATAGGTAACTAGGATTAGGTTAGGGTTTCGGTCTGTTTAAGGGTGATTGCTCCTTTCTTTGTGCTCATTGTGTGGTCTAAAACACCAGACGGTGTTTGTGACCCCTCTTCTCCTCCTCTTGCTCCCCTTGTTGCCTTTTTCCTCATCATCCATCTTTTACTGAGCTTCCTGTGAGATCCTTGATGGTTTCATTTGCATGAATATCTTTCTTCTGCTGGATGTTGTATGACTGCACACCATAAGAGCATAGATGCCAGCTTTAATGGAGAACTATGAAAATTACTGTGATTTGAAATGCCACTTTTGAATGTTCTACATATCCTTATCAGTAACAGGGTGCATGATTCACTTCTATCAGCTCCATATACACTTTTAATTAACTGGCATGGTCTACTATTTCTACTCCTCTCTAAGATTTTGGTATAAGATAAGAAAAAAAAGTTTGAGATTGGTAGTAGATCATTCCAGTAAAGTATTGGTAATGAGTTGCTGCATGTCTGTCCAAGAATGTTCTGTAGATTTTTACAGTAAAACAGCAAAGTTTTATCCTTTCCTTGTTCTTTTAATATGCATGGCAGTTTCAAACATGTTCTTACTGCATTCTTCTGTTTTCAGTATGCTTGTGTATTATCCCACTGGTGTGCTGTGCGCCAGATAATTTTACTGTATAGAGAACATGCATATGTATCAAGTGTGGTTAGCATTTTTATCAGTTTATGACGGTAATATGTAGTTTTAATATGTAGCCTCACTTTAAGAAGGAATGGTACATAATATAGTCATATAGCAGCATACTGTATGTCATTTTCTTAATATTGTTTAGCTGTCACAGATTGATGCCTCTGAGGATATAGATTAGGTTAAGTGTGCTACGGTCTCTTTTGGGCTTTAGATGTCCTTTGGTTTCAGTGTGTAGCAGAAGCTTGCCCTCTCCTGTGTTTCAGATGGTTATGGAGGACGTGACCGGCGGTCTCCAGACTACTATGAGTCAGAGCCAGAGGACTTGTCCCGACTCTTTGTGGCCATGTTTGACTACGACCCCTTGTCAATGTCTCCTAACCCCGATGCTGCTGTAGAGGAGCTTCCCTTCAAGGAGGGCCAGATCATAAAGGTTTTATCTGAACTGACTGATGTCAAGCAATTCTCAACTGCCATTTAATTCCATAGCTTGTTTTTCATTTCTTTCCACCTTTTAAGACTTTTTATTTCTACTCTATTTAGGGATGCATCGATACAGATAATTGATAATTATGTTTACTGTATATACTAATGTACATATTTAATTGCCAGTAGTAAAAGTACTGATTATTAAATTATATAGTATAATGTTTATTACTTTATATTAATATATTTATTACTTAATATTAATATATTTATTAATACACATTTTTCATATAAATGTATCAATACATTATATATTGGATATTGTTTATTACTATTTATTATACTTTTTTATTTATTATGATTATATAATGTTATATATAACATATAATGTTATATATAATGTTTATATATGTTTATACATATATATATGTGTGTATGTGTGTGTGTGTATACACATAAATTTAGCAATATATAGTAGGTATATAATCAGTATTGATTGTTTTACAATTATTTTATGTATATAAATATTTATATGGATTTATAATTAATTATTAATTGTATTTATTTTAAAAAGTACATTGATTAATTCATTAATCATTTTATACATAACTAATTGTATACAATTATTTTTATTAAATTATATTGTTCTATTCTTTGCACTAATACCGAATTTCTGACTGATACAAATAGTTAATAATTATATATTTGTGTACCAGTATAGTTGCCAATGCCAATATTAAATAATACTGATTATTAAGTTACTTTTATTGTTTTTTTTTTACTGTATTTTATATACATGCCTGCATATGTATATGGCTTTTTAATGATTTATAATTATTTATTTTATATAAATAATACTTTGTGCTTAGCTAATTATATATTCTAAGTTCTGTTCTCTTCTCCCCTTCTATCCTAGTCAGTCCATTGCCATACACACACACACACACACAGGGTTGGGCAAAGATACAGTACATCAAAATGTATTTTAAAATAAAATACCAAATACCTTAATTTTAAGTGTATCAAAATAAACTACAAAATACAGCAGCTACACCAAGTATCAAAATAAACTACTGTATTTTTGTATTTTAAAAATACAAAAAAATACTTTTACAAGGGAGCATGAAATTTCTTCACAAACCTTCCAACAATTGGCCTATTTGATCTATATCTTCACCAACACACTGATGTTTGTGAACAAGTGAACAATGTTTGATAGCAACAGCTTTTCTCTGCCCGAGTCATGCAATAAATCTGACATATGCAATCAGTTAACAGATCAAATATTCACATATCCCTGTGATCTCCCAGATGAAGGTTAGTTTTAAAGTAACCAACAGTTTAATGTTTAACAGTTTGCGAATGACTCATAACTGTATCCTAATTTAGTTACTTGGTATTTGGTAACAAAGGGCCTACTTTGCATCAGCAGCACTGACTCAATGACAAGCAAGTCATTCATAAGAAGACAACTGATGGCACGTGTATTCATAGCAACTAGTTTCTAACTACTTAATCATTTGATTGTTAGTCATAAATATAATAATATATTATGTGTCAGGCAATCATTCAATCCACTCGACACCTATTTGGAAGTTGAAAACAAACATTTTAGCATTACAACAATTATTAAATGATCAATATGTTTTGATTTTAAATGTAGCCAGAAACGTAATCAGAAAGTAGCAACAGAAATTGTCAAGGAGTATTAACCCAACTCCAACCACGTATCTGAAATACTGCCCATCCCTGCACACACACACACTTATTTTCTGTTTGCAGTGGCTATTTACATTTATTCAATTACTAGACACTTGACACTATTAAATATGACTTACAAATGAAAATAATACAAGCATAAGTAAATATTACAAGATAGAAAACATTAGAAGTAGTGCTACCGTACAAAATTGAGTAGAGCAGTAGTGCAGGACATTCGAGAGAGTGTAATTAAAAATGCAATGAAATTAGTTCAATTATGGCCCTGCTGTGTTGTGCAGGTGTTTGGAGAGAAGGACACAGATGGATTCTATAGGGCAGAGATCTGTGGCCGCAGGGGGCTCATCCCCTGTAACATGGTCTCAGAGATCCAGACGGATGATGATGAAATGTTGGACCAGCTGCTCAAACAGGGGTTTCTTCCTCTCAACACGCCCATTGAGAAAATAGGTATGAACTAACAGGTAGTTTGTACTGAGCCCCTGCCCATCTTACCCCTCTGTGCTTCATTTTCTGACTATTCTGTTTGTTTATGAGTTATTTTAGATTAACATGGTGCTAGTCTGCCAGTCCTCTACCTTTTCCATACTATTCTTTATATAATAACTCTTAAATTCTATCATCACTCATGTCGTTCCAAACCTATATGACTTTCTTTCATCTGAGGAAAACAAAAGGAATCATAGCAAAATGTCACAGACGGATTATTCCTTTAAATTCTGTGCCTTCCTTACCTTCATTCTTTCCTCTCTCTCTCTCTCTCTCTCTTCCATTTCGTTCTTGCTTTCCTCTTTTCTCTTCAAGTAAACTGTAATAGGTTCAAAGATGGCCGTTCAGTTAATCGCAGGTCCAGGAAATCCAAGAGAGGTTTGTGCCCACACAATTTCTTCAGCAGTTTTCTCATTCAAACCTTTCTTTACTTTTTCACTTAAGTGCCTTTTCACAGCTCACCTCCAAGTTTCCCTTTAACATTTGAATGTCACACAAGCATGACTACTTCTTTCTGTTCCCACTGACACCTCATGCAGGAAATAATGCAGATTGAACAGTGGGGTCCAAAAGTCTGAAACTGCTCTTAAAATGTTTCTATTTTGTATTTTAGAGCATCTTGAGCTTTAAAGGGTTAGTTCACCCAAAAATTAAAATGAGCTTGTGTTTTACTTACCCTCGAAGCATCCTAGGTGTATATGACTTTCTTCTTTCAGATGAATCCAGTCGGAGTTATATAAAAAATTGTCCTGGCTATTCCAAGCTCTATCATTGCAGTCAGAGGGTGTTGCAGTTGAACAGTCCACAAGTCGTCAAATAAAGCTTGCGCATCTATAATAAAACGTGCCGCAGACGGCTCCGGGGGATGAATAAAGGCCTCCTGTAGCGAATCCATGATTTGTAAGAAAATTATCCATATTTCAAACGTAATAAACACTTTTCTCTCACTTCCGTTATCTATCATACACAGATCCGTTCCGGCGGAAGGCGTATAACGTATGCAAAGCGCGCGCGCCTCTGAGATATGCTAGTCTCGCGAGTTTGTTTAATAGGAGCAAAGGAAGCAAAGTTTCCTTACTTTAGCAAAGGAAAACCAGTCTCCTCTTGGTTTATATCGAAATCCTCCGACATTTTTCTTTGCAAATCAATGTACTTCTAATTCGTGACCGGCATTTTGTTTTGTTCTCTCTCCGCATTCGTCACTAATCACGCAACACCGCGCTTCTTACGTCATCCGCCGGAACTGCTTCAGTGTATGACAGTCAGCGGAAGTGAGAGAAAAGTGTTTATTACATTTGAAATATGGATATTTTTCTTACAAAATGGTTCGCTACAGGGGGCCTTTATTCACCCCCCGGAGCCGTCTTCGGCACGTTTTATTATGAATGCGCGAGCTTTATTTGACGATTTGTGGACTGTTCAACTGCAACACCCGCTGAGTGCCATTAAACAGCTTAAAAGATCAAAGACAATTTTTAATATAACTCTGACTGGATTCGTCTGAAAGAAGAAAGTCATATACACCTAGGATGCTTCGAGGGTAAGTAAAACACAAGCTAATTTTCATTTTTGGGTGAACTAACCCTTTAAGTAAGAACATCTGACCATTTATACTGAATTCACATGATCAGTGCCACTGATTTACTTTTGATTTCTTTCCATTTTTTTCTCAAACTGTTTCTTTCCATTTTCAATTTGAAATGTTCAATAAGCTGTAGACTCAAACTTTTGGACCTCACAGCTCAGAATAGTGGACATTTGGATTCAAAATCAGTAACTTGTCTTCCAAATGTGCCTTTTATTGTTGTTAAAAATGATGATAGTTGGTAATATGCAATTCTAAATGTATCCATTAGAGGGCAAAAAATTAGATGAATAACATGTAAAGTTTTGATGTCATTATTACAACAAGGCCTGTTGTCATTCATAAATCATGCTCTTTTTTTCACATATTTATATGTTTAATTTTAATTATCAACATTTTAATTATCAGAAAGTACCTTGGTTTACTTATTTATTTGTTTTGCTCATTTGTTCTTAAACTCTTTTTTTTTTTCCAGAGAGGAACAAAAGGAGTGGAAGGCAGCACCCGGTGTCGACGCGGAGGATGGTGGCCCTGTATGACTATGACCCCAGAGAGAGCTCTCCTAACGTGGATGTGGAGGTACTAATGGAGTTAATTTTGTCTGGGCTTTTTCTTGCACTTACAGTCTCATCTCATAAGCTTCTGATTTAATCTGGCTTGCCTGGATGTTTGCCTCTGTATTAGCCACCAAATTCATGTTCAGCTTATTTTCCTTGCTTTTGCGGCTACAATGTGGTTTGTATTTTTTATGTTGCTGTTCATTCAGATGGCACATGGCATCTCTAAAGGTTAAGTTCTGGTTAAAAATAAAATTAAAGTTCTGTCATTATTTACACACTGTTATGTCATTCCAGTCCTGTATGACTTTCTTCTGTGAACTTATTATTTTAAAGTTGAAGTATGCAATTTCTGTGCCAAATAGAATCTAAAAATATAATCACTGTTTTCAAACAGGTTTCCCAAAATCTCCCCCTGTCTGCCACTGTTTTTTATATATTATTATAGTATTCATGAGTATTTTAAATTATTTTTTTTATATTTTCAGTTTTTATTTTAATTGTAATTTGGGTTTCAGTAATTTTGTCATGTGATTCTGTCATTTTGTTTAGTTTTATATGTATATGTGACCCTGAACCCTGAAGTCTTAAGTCGCTTGGGTATAGCAGTAGCCAAAAAAACTGTATGGGTCAAAATTATCGATTTTTTCTTTTATGCCAAAAATCATTCGTTAACATATAGTCCACAAGACCAAAAAATAGCTGAAATTATAAAAATTTTGGGAACCCTTGGTTCTTAATACTGTGTTTGGTTACCTGGATGAGCTACAACTGTTTTTTTGTTTTGTGATGGTTGTTCATGAGTCCCTTGTTTGTTCTGAACAGTTAAAGATGCTGGAAAACTGTATATGTTTTGAAGGGGGTTATTTTAATAATTTCAGCTATTTTTTGGTCTTGTGGACTATATGTAAACGTCTTTTATGTAAAATATCTTACTCAGGACAGTAATAAATAAAAATATAACATGCATTTTGTATGATCTCTCTTATTTTGTTTAAAAATGTTGTTTTGTTTCAATTATTCACATTTTCACAGATTGTGCAAGGGGTTCCCAAACTTTCGCATGCCACTGTATATATATATATATATATATATATATTCAAATTAAAATGGCAACATCGTTATATAAAGTATATGCATTCATGTGCTTCATTTTCACTGGAGGAAACAGCTGTGGTGTGATGAGGGGTGAACGCTGCGAAAACTTAGGTTATCTATTTCTATTTCTATATTCTATTTTATTTTAAATTTATTTCAGTTACTGAAAACTAACAGTAATAACACTGGTCCATCATTGTTTGGAAAACAAATAGTCCCACCCAACAAACTTCACCTTTGAAGTTAGTAATAAGCACTTCTGAATGTATCCATCAGAGGGCATCAAAATAGTATAACATCAAATTGAATGATTGATATTACCATCCTGACAACCAAGCCTGCTGTCATTCATAAATCATGCTGTGCTTCTTTTTTACATATTTACTTGTGTTTAAGTGTAATTGTACTTCATATAAAATTCTAATAAAAACATCAACAAAAAAAGAAATGGCAGTGTTAAAAATAATACATTTAAAAACCAATAATTGGTAGAAATGTGTCTTTAGTAGTAACACCCATCAAATTTGTCCAATTCAATTCCAAATCTATACAAAAAAATAAAAACTCACAGAACAAACAATGTTAGATCAGCTAATAACTACATATTATATTTAGCATTTCCAAGTCTTTTACACCCCATTGTCACTTACTCTCACCTTTGCATTGCCGCTGGCGCACAGGCCCGCTATGGGGGCAGCTTGCAGAGTGAGGAGGTGAGTGTGGAAGGAAGTAGTGAGTCTACACTCACTGAGCCTGTGCCAAATGACACTCTATTTCCTGCTGAGGGAGCTCACTGCACTGCATCAGCACCTGTACTGTGTGTGGACATCTCACTTACGGGACCCAAACATCATAATGCATGTGCAATACATTTGCATTTCAAACTGAATGTGATCTTTAAAGCCTTCATAATTTGCTTGATGAATGATTCTCTAAGGAAATAAGCGTAACAGGATGCTTTATATTCCATGATGGTAGTGTTAGTGTTAAGCTTTAGTGAACCAGATAAGCATTTAAATGAATTCCAATGTGTATGCATGTATTTATCGGATACTATGAATCATTATAATGCATTTATAAGGCTTTGTGACAGACTGTTGAGAAATCTGCTCTGCTGTAAGTGAGTGAGTTCCTATGAAAGGAATAGGGAATGTTATTTGTGACACTGGGATCTCTGTGTGTGTTTTTTGCTGTCATTGGACTGGAGGTAAAGGGTTACACAATCACTGTGGTTTGTGAACACAGCTCCCAGTCTGACAGTGAGGACCTGCCTTGCCCAGTGTTGGTTGATCTGTGTTTGTATTTCTCAAGTTTGGTGGATGTTGTTTTGGACCTGAAGTAGAGAATGTTGCTATAAATTATTGCTATTTCATTTTCTTTCTAATAAGGTACGTAGAGATTCTTTTAGATATCTGACATTACGTAGGTTTGTTTTTATGAGTATAGAGTTAGGCCTAAACCTTGTGTAGGTTGAATATGTAGGTTTTAATCCTGTCAAAAGTTATAGTGTATAAGTGTCCAAAAGTGAAAAAAGTGCCCATACAGCATATATAGACAGACAGACAGAACGGACGGATATAGACGGATAGATAGATAGATAGATAGATAGATAGATAGATAGACGGACGTATAGATGGACATGGATGGATGGACAGATAGACAGACAGATAGATGGATGTTTAGACATGATAGATAGGTGGATGGATGGATGGATATACAGACAGACAGACAGACAGAGATATACGGACGTATAGACGGATGGATTTATATACAGATGGATGGGAGCACAGATGGAGAGATAGATAGATAGATATAAAGATAGAGACAGACAGGCTGATTTATGATTGATTGATCCTTTAAAGTGATTAAAACATCTACATTGTGGTTGTAACTGTTGCATATTAAATTAACTCTGTGACAGTTATGAACGATGACTGAAATCTAACATGTTTTACTTTTTCTGTCCTTCAGGCTGAGCTGACGTTTTGTGCCGGCGATGTGATCACAGTGTTTGGAGAGATCGATGAGGATGGCTTTTATTACGTGAGTAGATTATTTACACCATCTCTGTTTTTGGTCATACACTATACTATTCTGCAAAACACCTAATGCTGTTCTTTCACGTTCGAGGTTATTCCTGCTTTCAGCCCTGAACACAGGAGAGCCGCCACACTGGCATTTAGCCTTAGATGCATGATGTCCTCTGTTTTCCATTCAGGGGGAGCTCAATGGACACAAGGGTCTGGTCCCCTCCAACTTTCTTGAAGAAGTGCCTGATGACGTGGAGGTTTACCTCACCAACACACCGAGCCGTCACCCCCAGGACCACCCGTCCCGGACAAAGAACAAAAGGGTACATCCTGTTTCACACTAGCCCTCTGTCATCCATTCGCTCTTTTTTAATCTCTTTCCTGCTCCGCTGTTTTTTTCCTCTTTTCCGTCTGTGTTGTGTTGTGTGACAGCCGGTTGCTTTTTCGATGGATCATTGAAGGAAAACAGAAAACAAAAGAGAGACAGCTTACTAAACACAGAGACATACCGTAAAATACAAGACTGAGGAACCTTTATTTTTATGTCAGATGTTCTGCGGAGGAGAAATGTGAACTGTTAATGAAATTGCATATTCATAAAGCATTGTTTGGAAAAGAAGAATTCACACAAAGAGACGTGCCAGATTATTAGTTGTTTATTGTTATTATTTCTGGAAAAAGAAGCACTAAAAGATTATTCTTTTTTACCTAATTCACAAGTGAGGCATTGTAATAGATGCTTAATGAATGTAACTGTGTTTAAAAGTGAAATCAATTTATAATAGAGGAGATAGTTTTGATGTACAGAGAACTGAATCCATGTAGAACTGTAGAACTGCATGCTTTTTCTTTCAGAATGCTTCGACACCACCGTGAACATTTTTTTAAGGTGCTTTAATGGATCGAGACCAGTTAAAAAAAAACAACAACCTTAAACCCTTTTGTATATGTTTCCAAAATAATTGTTTTTTTGTATATTGCTGATATATAAGACTATCAACGTAAAGAAAGACTCAAAACAAATGTTGCAAGTAGAGAGTTATCAAGAATGATTTTATCTGTAGATGTAGATATTGTACAATGGTCTGTATAAAAAAAGAGAGAGAAAAAAATATATAATTGCTGATGGATGTTCTGCTCAATCATCAGGACCCATCAAGGTTTTTCTGTACTGAAAGTTTTGTGATTCTTTTCTCATATTCATTGTGCAGACAATTGAGATGCATTACATCATGGCATTGTTTTTTTTCCTCACTTGCTTGGCAAAACAGAAGAAGAGTGTTCATTTCACTCCGTAACGGCTCAGTATCTGTCACGTAAGTGAGCAACAGAGGATACCACAAATAATGCTGTCCTCGTCTAATGCACACGACGCGGGTCCTTATTACTATTGCTCCTGGTATGCACAAAACACACACATATGTCACATTCACACCAACCATATACATGAAAGATCCATTAAAATTGGTCGCAGACTCACAAAAACATTACATTGATGCCTAAAGTTTGAATTGCTCAAATTACCATTTCAGAATTTACATATGAACTAACAGACTAATTGCATTTTTATTTTAATAAATATTTTATTCATATTTAAATGTTTCATTAATATGTACTGATTTATATGTTTGTTATTTACTAATATTTATATTTTCTATTTATAATTTATATCATATATTAATATATAATTATGTAATTTTTAATGTTTGTAATTTAAATGCAATTATATTAAAGATCTAAATTGATTAAAATAATTTGTATTAAAACCATATTTTTATTATTTAAAAAACATTTTTATTACTTAAAATTACATTTTAATTAATTGCACAGTTTAAAACTGACAGTATGCACCCAAATTCTATACAGATACATGCACTGACCAAGTTACTCATCAAAACACCCATTCACATTTTTGTGCATCAGTTAACAGTACTATAAGTACGGCTGCTCAGAGAGCTGTGATTGGTCCACTGCTGTCAGTGCATTAGACAGGCACAGCTGGTATCTTCAGTTGTTTCTCTGGGTGTTGTCCATTATAATGTTCGTCTTTCATTGACTCCTACTGTAAGTCATAAGAAGCTATAAGGCCATTGTTGCACGGTCAGAATTGAACCCCTGACCCCCTTCCCCCACCCCTTCTCTTCTCTAGTGTGTGCAGTTTAGTAGATTCCTAGTGTACGCCCTGGGACAAACCCTCTCCTCTCCTGTAGCTGTGCACCCTATCATACCACACTGAGCATGAATTCACACGAAACACTTGAATTGAAATGGATATTGGACATTGGCAAGGTCAGCCAGATCATAAGGTGTGTGTGTGTGTGTGATTAGGGTGCACTCTGTCCAGCAAGCATAAGCATCATTACCTTTATCTATGTAAAGAGTAGATTTTAGTTATATACTGTTTCCTAAACTTGATTGAATTGATTTTTAAGTTTATGCATTCTTGCAGCCACTTTTGTAAATGAAGCTTTTTTAAAGCAGGTTTGATTTGGCTCCAACACCCTTGGTGAAGTTACCATGCTGAAAGGTGATAGATTACTTCAAAAGACTGGTAAATTAAATACTTATCTTCTCTTTTCATTACCATTATAGAGTATGTTGCTGTTAGCATAAATATTAGCATAATTTTTTTTTAATTTTGTGTTATGCAACTATACAACTGATATTAAGGACAAATTATGGCATGTAAAAGGTGTTTTTGCTTTTAAAGGAATAGTTCCCCCAAAATGGAAATTTGCTGATAATGTACTCACCGTTTGGCCATCCAAGATGTAGATGAGTTTGTTTTTTCATCAGAACAGATCTGGTTCAATTTAGCATTACATCACTTGCTCAGTGAATGGGTGCCGTCAGAATGAGAGTCCAAATATTGCTTTCTCAAGTGAAAAAGTTATCTAGTGATGTTTGTGTCAGCTGTTTGGACTCTCATTCTGACGGCACCCGTTGACTCAATTGGTGAGCAAGTGATGTAATGCTAAATTCCTTTTCTTTTTTTTTTCTTTTTTTGTGATCAAGAAGCAAACTCATCTACATCTTGGATGGCCTGAGGGTGAGCACATTTTCAGCAAATGCTCATTTCTGGTTGAACTTTACCTTTAAGGAGTTCCTAATTAGTTGAATGTCACTAAAAATGAGATTACTGTCATGTGACTGTGTATAAATAGTACATTTCTTATGATATTTTGTTGCACTTGCAGTCTGAACAGGTTTATTAATGTTTTAATGAGAGTTTAGCTAAAATCTTAAGTGAAGCGCACTCGATTTTCTGGGTTTCACCACATATCATTCATAGATTATGGTTTAGAACGCTGCCCCCTACTGTCTGGGTGTATTATTCATGATGAAAAATATACTATTGATTAATAATTGACTGTATGGTGGCCCTGCTGGGACAGAAAGGACTGAGAGGTGATGGAGTGTCTGTTGTACAGTAATGACATTGAGATGCTTTAAAAGGCAAAGAAACACCTTCTTTTCTTTTTAAACATCCGGCCCTGAACTGTCCCTTGCGGGTCTTCCGTTAGGTTCCCATGGAAAAAGCGAGCCCTCCCAGAAGAAGTGCCACCCCCGCAGTGCGCCCACACATCCCGGGGTCCGGCCCCGCAGCCCAGGGGCCCGGCAGTCCCATCCGGCGCCCCCGAGCTGACTCTAAGAAAACAGGACTGCTCTCCAAAGGAAAGAATCTATTGAAAAGGCTTGGTGCTGTCAAATAGTTTCACATAACTCTCTTCACAGCAGCCGGGTTAAGGAGGTTGGAATTGAGGAGAATTTACCTTAGAAGGTGGGAAAAAGAACATTTCTCCCATCTTCTGTTTCTGTAATCACATGGATTGGCCACGGAAAAGAGAAAGGGAAATGGTGGAAACTATGGCTTTCATGACCACAACTTCAGCTTTATGCCTTTGAAACTGTAATAAGTTCTGTTTGCCCATGTTTGATTCTTAAAAGCACAGAAATGCTCACTAATGTGAGTTACTAAGATGTCTTGTTATAAATATACAATAGAAGGGATGTTCTTGGATAATAAAATAAAATCTATATTTATTCAATTTAATTGTTTCATTTTAGTGGATATTCAATTTATTATTATTTAATAAAGTTGTTCGATATTTAATAATTATAATAAATTGAATATCTCTTAAATTTAATTAAATGTAATGTTTTAATTTAACAAATATACAATAGTATTATTATTATTATTAAACTATATTTTTGGCAAATTTTTCATCTAGACCTGCTGTTCTCAGAGAATAACCTAATAACCTAGCACAAAGTTTTAGGAGTTTAGCACGAATATGAAATGTAGGTTTTGCAGTGACTGGACACGGCTTATATTTCTACAAATACCATGAGGGAAAACAGTGTGTTCTGCCACATTTGACTGGATCTTTTTTTTTTTTTTTTTTTTTAAGCACCGCCAGGTTCACAGATGCATAATATTCATGGTATCCACTGAGTTTGAAACTGTTGCTACAGCCGTGTCTCTTCGTCAGCACACTATTTTGTGTTTTTGGGAGCTTGAAAGAATGTCCAAACAGTGCAGCAGGGAGCAATTTGCGTTCCGGCCAGCAGACACTGTTATATCCCAGCATGCATTTGGTCCAGGTAATGAGAAAAGATTAGCTGCTGTACATATCATTAAAAGCCCCACTAATGGCGTGGACAGGTCATGAAACTCCTAGTGGAAGTGAGCCTCCTCATATTTGCCTTATTCAATGCACAATGGTTTGTGTTGTGTCCAGTCAGTTGGGTGAGATTTGTCTGTGTCATGTGCAGTCATGTCGATGCTTTCCTTCTCATGAAAAAACTGTATTTCGAATCTGTGTGACCAAGTGTTGTGTTGTTTTTTTGCAATGGGTGTCAAAAGTAGGGAAGGAGGGACTCTAACTTACAAATGGTTCATAAATCCATTCAAGTGTAAATTGTGCAGCTGAATGCAACAATTTGCATAAGAACGTTTTTATTTACGATTTACACAGAAGTTTTGTATGTTTTTGCAAAGAAGGCCCTTGATTTCCACTTATTTAGCACAACTTATTCACAGTTTTACATAAATCAGTTTGGTTATTGACTCACTGATGCCTCTCCCAGCTTTCAAATCATTCAAATAACATGATGCACATATTCCGTACTTGATAAGGATGAAGGAAATTAGCAATTGTGAATGTATGGCCAAGGAAAACCTTCCCATCTCCGTGATCCGTTTCATTCAGTCTGTACTGTATTTCTTCTCCATACATTGTTCATTTTATTTGTTTGTCATTTCACCCCTTCATTTTGTCCTGAACCAAGATACTAAAATTAGGTTTGCAAGTATGGACCGAGACTGCCAAAAAACAGGAATGTATGAGAAACATTCTGTATATCTTGTACAATTTTCAGCCAAAATTCCAGGCGTTTTAATTCATCAGAATAACTGTACTTTTTTTTTGCCGAATCATTTAATCATAAGATGTTACAGAGCATCGCTTCTACATGTTTGAGTGACTGCTGCTCTTTTTGTACTTTTTGCCCATTTGTACATTCTTTTTAAATGTTTATACTTGCTTTTCAGACTGCCTTTTTGTACATTAAACTTTATAATCTGACAGTGCAAGCTTTCCTCATGGTGTCTTCAAACCATAATGTTTTAAAGTCTGCAATTGTGTGCTAGCTTTATGAAAAAGACATAAGCCTATATTGATGGTTATCAAATATTGTGTGAGTATGCATGTACAGTTTTATATCGAAATAAATTTGATATTTTATACACACCGTTGTATGTGTTTATTTTATTAACTCAAGTCAAGTTTGTGCAGTTTTACAGGTGAGTGAATGAGCTATTTTGGTGTTAGGATTTATAAAATATAATCACATACTTCCAAAAGATGGCGCCCAAATTCCATAATTGCCTGCCGATGTAGTGATGTAGTTGTTCTTAATATCACCTACTACATTGTAAAGTTGTAAAATCAAAGGTCTCTCTCTCAAACACACTCAAAAACAATACAGTAGTCATTTCTTTCTTACCTGCTCTTTTCCGTTCCGTCCTGCATAAACTTTTTTTTGCAGAATAACCACATTTTCATGTAGGCTATTTGTTTTTAGCTCTGCAGCTCCACCTTATCGTTTTCTTTCTTTTTTTTTTTTGTTTGTTTGTTTGTTTGTTTTTTAATCTAAAAATAAATTACATTATTAGGCCTACAGAATTCCCATGTCCAGATGCTCAATCACTGGAGCAGAAAAAAAGTGAGTGGAATGGCACTAGGGATCTCGACTTGGCCCCCTTTTTTAATTGTTTGCTGTGTAGGCTATTTGCATTTCAATACAGTTCAGCGATTCTCGTTGTCGTTATTCACATAACAAATTGAGTGTATTCAGAAGCACCATAAAGGCGACGTTGTCACTGGGTACCTCTTACTATTCTCAACGCTGCTCTGGATAAGCCAATCACTGTTGCTTGAGATTACTGTGTAAGGTTATAGATACTGACGGAACGGAGTTCCTTTCAGATGTAAAGCATATATATAAATATATTTGTGCTGAACAGATTTCGTTACACCATAACTCTAATGTAAAATATCTACACTAAGTCAAAGATGCGAATCAATGGGGAATTTGGCATTCTTGAGCCTCCATACGCCCCCTGCAGGAAAACAACTTCGTGTCCCATAGAAAACAGTGTAGTAACATTTACCGCCCAAAGGGCTCAACCCACTGATGAGAGCGCGAGCGCAGCGCTTGTTCTTCATCTTCATCAGAGCTCGAGCGCAGCGCGCAACACACGGACTTTAAGACGATGGATGACAAACTCTGAATTCAGCTACAAGTGATCTTCATGCCTGCTGGTCATTTTGAACGTCATATTCTGACGCACTCATATTTTGTTCTTACAAATATACCTTAACAATATCTTTATATTGATATAAGCGCAATGATTTTGTTCGTTTACCATTAACGGCGCAGTATATGTTTTAAGTTTGTAACTTTTTTATTGCTAAAAACGCCTTTGAAAACAATGGACTTAAAATACTGTAAAGTACTACTTATGACTCTCCTGACTGTTCGGGTAAGATAATTGAAAAAGAAAAGACAGAAGAAACCTTTGTTTTTAATGCGGTTTCGATGTGGGTTTTAATGCAAGTCGCTTGATAAGTTGAATGCTTTATTTCTTTCAGGTTCGTAGTGACGTTGTATCACCGTCAAAACATCCAGGTAATAGTTGAAATTACCAAATACATTTTTTTTTACGTGAAAACTCGATGAAATGTGTCACAAAAACATAATTTCGTTGTTTTATTTAGACAATAAACTTGTGTACACTAATAAAACGTAAGAAATTCATCTAAACTTAAACTGAGGATGACTTTTTCCCCTCAGTTATGTTGAATGTAAAAGGTTAATTTAATTTAGCTCAACCTTTTCATTATGTACTTGGTATAATAAATATAAATGATTGTTTCTACTGGCGATTTACAGACACGATTGAAACTGAATTTTAAATGTCGTCCTTTTTTTTAAGTTCCCTTATTTGTGGTAAAACTCGGAATACGTCACCGTAATCGCAGTAATAATATCGACGGATCGACATTTAACACTAACATTTCCGTTCACTATTTTTAAATAGAAACCAACATCCTCATCCACAATAACACTTTCTGCTCAAAATTTGCTCTAAATCTTATCTAGTTTAATAAAATTATACGTTTGACTGAGGAAAATTGATTCAGCACTGAGATCATCTTTTGGCAGTTGTGAAATGTTATGACATGGTATGAAACTCGGGACATCTTTACAGGTAGTAGCCTACACATAATGATAGAAAATGAATTACGGAAGAAACTAAATATATAGAGAGAGTGTGTGTGAGAGAGAGAGAAAGTGTGTAACGTTAGCTTTTCTGAAAATAATTAAGCTGCAGAGCAAGAAGATGAAACATCATTTTGTCTCTTTGGAAGTTAATGGAATTTAGAATTTTATTATAGGAATATGTAGATTATTTACAACTAAATTGCTGTCGTTGTATATGGATAGAAAATTCCAGATTTGGTTGATTCTCAAAAGGCAGGTGAAGTGATTAGTCTTAAGAGGTTGTTCCTTACAGTCCAGGTTAAGCACTATTAATAGCCTCCTGTGGATGTTTGATTCTCTACACACAGAATTCTGCAGCCAAAATGAAATATTTTATCCAAATTGACCAGCAGAGACAAGTCTGAACCAATGACAAACAACATGCAATAAAACTGTCTCAAGATAATTTCCGTGAACCCCTCTGTCAACCTTAATAAGAATAAACAGAAAACAGTCAAGCTTAAAAAAATTAAAATGATGCTGGATTGACTACAAACTGTCACTGTAATGTTTTTGCATGTGTGTATATTTTTGTGTATACTGTATGGATGTGTGTGTTTTGATCAGGCCTGCAGGTGCTGGCCACAGCTTCACACTACTGGCCTCTGGATTCAGTGGAAGGGATCCACGGCCTCTCAGACCAGATTGGGAACAGAACAGGTCATGTTAATGGGACTAATATAAGTATGTCACACCTGCTTTGTCTTTCTTTCTTTCTGTCACCACAGCTGTTTAACATTCCTCCACGGTCACGTCTTAGTTGCGGAAATCTCTGTGGCTTTGCAGCTGTCTTCAGTTCTTAAAACGAAATGATTTCCTCATTTGATTCGAAACGTTGAGGAATTACATGATTACCTCAGTTGTGATGAAGACAAACGACTATGACATTTAAGGGTGTCAAAAGTACACACAGTTTCTTTACAGTGATTTACTAGTCCACTTGGATTTTTAGCTGTCCAAACTCACCAGCATACATCACTATAGTGGGAGAGCTCTGCAATGCCCTCAACAGATCTGCTGAAAATTTGTGCACGTTAGACAAACAACCACACGTCATTCCATAGCTGGAGTATATTCCCAGTATAAGTACAGTATGGCAGTTGTTCTGTGCTGGCTAATTCAGAACAAATGGAGGGCTGAGAGGAATTCTCTGGGCCTCTCAGACTTGTATCGACACAATGTGTCACATGTGCATATCTAAAAGATTTCTTAAAGGGGTCATATGATGCTGCTAAAAAGAACATTATTTTGTGTATTTGGTGTAATGAAACATGTTTATGCGGTTTAAGGTTAAAAAAACACATTATTTTCCACATAATGTACATTATTGTTTCTCCTCTATGCCCCGCCTTTCTGAAACGTGTCGATTTTTACAAAGCTCATCGGTCTGAAAAGTGAGGTGTACGCTGATTGGCCAGCTATCCAGTGCATTGTGATTGGCCGAATACCTCAAGCGTGTGACGGAAATGTTA